CGCTGCCCCGGCCGGGTCCCTTCCTTTCCCCCCCCAGCACCCCGCCGGCTGCACCCTCAATTCTCCAGCATGCCTCAGAGCAGTGCAGAGGCTCAGGAGATCCAGGAAACCGAGGCGGATGTCTCCCCCACCTGGCCTCCTTTAGCCTACCAAGGGAGAGGAGCTCGACAGACAGGGAGCCATGACGTGGCCTCTGATGCCATCTGGTGGCCAGACTCACCTGGCAGCTCCTTCCCAAAGGCAAGCGTGTAGCCCCGCTGCACTGAGGCATGGAAGGGCACATGTCCATGACTTCCAGAATTTAACCATCCAGAAGGAACCATCACGATCATCTCATCTGACCTGCTGCCTCTCCAGGCACAGAGCCTCCCCCAGCCCTCCCCGAGTGCCTGGCGACCTCCCCTCCCAGGACAGAACAGACACTGGTTGAAACTGAGCTGTGCCTCGCGAGGTGGAGCAAGGCAGAAAGGGGCCAATATCTGCCAATTCCTCCCTGACCCCGTCTGGCCGTCAGTTACACGCTGAGCATGTGGGCCAGACGCCCTGGCAAGAATTCTCTGGAGTGGCCGACTCCAAGCTCTCCCTGGGGAGCACCCCATGACCCTGCCACCTCTGATCGGAAAGAGCCCCAGAGCGGGATGCAGCAATGACCTAAGCCAGAGAGCTACCCTGTGCACCAGGCAGAGCACTCGGGTCAGGAGCAAGTGGGCACAGCTCCACCAGAGCTTAGGACAGGTCTGAATTTGGCTGGGGCTCTGCAGAGCCAGAGGCTGAGTATCTCTGACAATGTGGCACCAGGTGCCTGGGACAGAGAGGAGGGGAAGCACAGTTTCAAAATTCAGCTGGAAGCTGAATTCCACCTCAACCCACACAGCACGTGGGCACTAGCTAGGTGTGTGGCAGCCGGCCAGGAGACAGCAGAGTGACCGTGGAAGGGGGCCCTTACCCGGCGCTCTGGCCAGCTGGGCCTCGCTGCTGGACTTGATGATTTTGCAGTTGGTTGGCATGTCACTGAGAGCAGGCTGGGCCCGCTCGGGTTTCACGCGCAGCTTGCTGTGGTTCTCCAGCACCTGGGCGGCCGTGGCCTTGGCCACTTTTGAGTTCAGGGTCTGGAAAGAGGAAAACTCCTCGTCTTCGTCATCGCCGATGTCCCAGGCATCACTGGTGTTACGGGCAAACTCGTGAAAGCTAGAGGCCTTTTTATTCTTCATGAGCAGCACGTTGCCCTTGGAGCGTTCCTTAATGAAGCTGGGAGCCAGGGAAATAGGGTAAGTGCCACAGAAAGAGCCACCCTCTTGCTCTTTCCTCCTTTCACAATATCATCCCACGCACCTGGGGCACAACTCCTTCCAAACACTCCCTTCCCCTCACCCCCAGTACGCCCCCCAGGCCTCTTCAGCCCATGGCACAGCCTCCTCCCTACAGCCTTGGCACCCGCTCCCCCCAAGCCAAGAACCACCCTGGAAGGCGGAACAGAGCTGGACATGGGGGGTCAATCCTCCACTGTCCGGGAGGAGAGCATCCCAGCGGGGCAGAGGAGAGAAACCCACTCTGCTCCCAGGCCTACAGACGCCACACCCTACGAGCAGGAAAACTAGCAGCTGCACTCAGCCCAGAGAGAGGTGCAGATCCAGCTCCGTGCGCCTGTGCAGCCATGAGCCTCCAGCTGGCCAGTGACAGTCTGCTGAGCGCTCGACGCAGGGAGAGTGCTCCCACCACCGTCAAGCATCAAGAGTCAAAGTCCACCTCCCCTGCGCCACACGAGGGAGCGCGATAAGGAGCCAAAGCCAGGAAATCAAGGCTTCCTTCACCGGGGGAGCGTGCGGACTTGGCAGTCCCAGGGCTGACGCAGCCATGAGCCTCCAGCTGGCCAGTGACAGTCTGCTGAGCGCTCGACGCAGGGAGAGTGCTCCCACCACCGTCAAGCATCAAGAGTCAAAGTCCACCTCCCCTGCGCCACACGAGGGAGCGCGATAAGGAGCCAAAGCCAGGAAATCAAGGCTTCCTTCACCGGGGGAGCGTGCGGACTTGGCAGTCCCAGGGCTGACTGGCTGGGGGTTCACAGAGCACGGGGAGCCACAGAGATGTGGTGCCCACACCCATGCTGCGGGGTTCCTCACAGGCTACAAGGGAGCAGCTGAGAGCCCCTGCCAGGAAGAGCCAGAGCATCCCAGCAAAGCGAGCGCTGGGCGCCCAGCACAAGGAAAGCCGGAAGGGGGAGGGGAGACTGGACACTTACCTCTTGGTGAGCCGGGGGTCCAAGGGGGGGTGCTGGGCTCCATAGACAGGCTGTATGCTGCAGAGGAAAAAGCCACAGAAGATTTGTGAATAACTGCCACAGCCTCGGACAGGGCCACACTCCCCAGCTGGGGGGGCAGGGCTTGGGCAGGCTTAGAGCTGACACAGCTAGTGAGCCCGTGTGACAAAGCGGGGATCGGACGCGTTGCAGGGGATTTCTACTCGCTGGCTTGGGGTGCAGGGAGGGGAGTTGAGGCCCTGGGCTCTGGACCCCTCCCCCCAAGATGGACTGGACTGGCAGCCCCTGGTTCCTGTGCTGCGCCCCTGTCAACTGGAAACCTTCTGTTCTACCTGCTGGCTGAGGATGGGGGTGCAGGGCCCCAGTGACAAGCTAACACTCCCCTTTAAAGTGGGCAGGGATGCTTTGCAGCTCTACGCTGCTCTCCACCCAGGCCTAGCCTTACAGATGTTACACTGAGGACGCTGCTCGTTTCACAGGCAATTTACAGGGAAACCGAGACGGAGCAGTCAGGGGTTCAGGCCAACGTTTGGCCTAGTTATACATGTCCCCGCCTCACGCCCCTTCCAACAGCCAGGCCTGTTGCTGCATCTGCCTCCACAGCACTGCGCTGCGAAGGGTAAGCACTGCTGGAGGATGGGAAATTCTCCAACATCAACCCCCACTTAACAGCAAGGCCTGTTGGCAGCAGACCTGAGTCAATGGGACCGTAATCCGTTCCCCCAGTTCTGGAGCCAGCGGCACAGAGCTGGGCTCAGCACCACAGGAGGGGGAATCCGACCGGCTGCAGCCGGAGAAGCACTGAGCGCTACGAACTACCTGGCTAAGAGAAGGGAGAAGGCAGCTGCCCAGGGAGACACAGAAGAGCGATCGGCAGCAGAGAGAGCTGCAGGACAGGCAAAGGGCGACAACGGGCCCCAAAGCCCAGGCAAAGCAATGGGTGAGGAAGCCTAGCAACTGCCGCCTTTCACACCAAGCTCTAAACAGACGAGCTGTCTTCTGCCAGGCGTGGCCAGGCCGGGAAGGAGTCTCTTGTCAATTAAGTCCCGGTGTCAGGACGGCCATTGAACACAGGTGGCCGTGCTGAGGAGCTATTGTCCAGGGCAAAGGAGCGCAGTGCTGCTCACAAACGACTCATGGCTGCTTCTTTCAGTGCCAGGAGAAGCCAGAGAAGCCCTTTTAAAGCATGACCTGAGTTTTCCAAAGCTCCCCCCATCCCTTGTTCACACAGAGCCAGGGCACTGGGAAAAGGCTAACACAGGAACACTGGAGTCCCCTCTGGGAACACAACATTGGTCCCTCAGAACGAGGGTCCCTCCTCCGGCTGGCTGTGGCCGATACCCGAGGCTGCAGTGAAAGAAGCAGCCCCTGCCCATAATGCATTTGGAGAAGCAAGCAGGGCTGTGCCTGTCTGGGGAGGCAGGAAATGCCGCCGTATGGCCTAGAGCAAGTAGCTAATACTCAGCACAGGCCGACTTTTTTGAGATTGTGCATCCAAGGAGAAACAGCATAAGGGTGGGGGGAGGATAGGATTTTGTAAACAGGCCTCTTTCAGCTGTCTCAGGGATACCCCCAGCACCAGAGCTAACCCAGTCACTTCTGAACATGTAGCCCATGAGCTGAGGTTATTTTCATATGAACAGCTACAAACATCACGGGTCAGGTCTTCCCCAGCCACCTTTGGGAAGCCAGTTGCAGTATCTGATGTTGGCTTGCAGCAGTGAGTTCCATGGAACAACCACAAAAGCAGCATTTCCTTTCGTTTGCTCGACTGCTCATTTCACTGGCTGAATCGTTTGTCCTTGTACTGGGTGAAGAGCAGAGTGAGGCAGAAACACAAACACTCCCAGGAGAAAGCTACGATGGGGTTGACTTCTAAAGTACACTGACAATTCCATGAGCTTCTACGTTAAAGAAAAGCCCCAGGGACAGGCTTCCTTTGACCACCATCCCCAGGCAGTAAACCAGGCCATAACACTGGTAAGGACCAGCTGCGATTAGCACAGAGGCTTTCCTGTAACCGGACTACTTATAGAACTGCTGAGAGGAGTAGGGTTAGCTCTGACTTTATAAGAGTTGGAGTTTTTGTAGAGATGGGTAAGAAACATCTACGTAAAGATCAGCTTCAAGAACCATTCACAACAGCGACTGGCCTCAGCCAGCCGACCATAAAAAACCCAGAATGAGTCTGGAAACAGCCTAGCAACCAACAGGGCACGATTTACAAGTAGCTTTATTTGGAGTCCTTAGTGCCTGATCCTGTTCCCAATGGCTTCAAAGGGTGGAGGATCAGGCCACTACAAAGCCCCCTTCATCCAAGGAGCTCCAACACTTTGTCCCCACTTTTACAGCCAGAGAAACTGAAGACGACTGTGGGGAAAGAGACCAGCACGATGACAGTTAGTCCTGATGTTTGTATGGATTATTCAGATTTTATTTCCTTCCCACCTATGCCATTTAGTTTTTGAATGCAACTCAGCTTAGCCTGTGAAACTAGTGTGATCAAATCAATTCCACTTTTCGTATCCAGTCACTTTCACTTGCTTGTTCCACTCCACTAATGAAAGGCTCTGTGCCAATGAACAGATCAGGTCACTTCACCGTCTGTGCCTCTCTTCCTTCTCCCATCTTTGTCTAATTGAAGCTGGAAGCTCCTTGGGACAAGGCCTCTCTCGCCACATTCATGTACAATGGGGACCTGACCTCAGAAGGGGCCTCTGTGGTCTGTACATAGATAATAAGGTTGCTTGGGTTGCCAATGCCACACCAGAAAATACAAACCGAGAAGCCTGTCAATGACACCCCAAAGAGAACACTAGGCTCTGCGATGCACTTTGTCCTTCCAACCCTAAGCACTGGGCCCAAACTTCACAGTGCCCTTGTCATAATCAGGAGTGCTGACCAGCACTTGGTGACTAAGAGGTTAACTCTACCTAGCACAGGTGCCAGGCGTTCAGCCAATTGCAATGCAGGTAGGACAGTCAAACCGGGAAAGAGAGGTTTTTGTTTGAAATCAGAGCAGTTTCCCCCAGGTACTGCTCTCTCCAAGAACAGACTTCTTACTATGTGTAAGGAAAGAAAAGTTTAGCTAGTCCGTCAGGGTCTATGGTTTTCCTTGTTTGGGGGTTTGGAAATTCTCAGTTGGCTAATTGTTTTCTCTTTTGTAAGTAATGATTACAGCCCAGGGGCTTTCCCTGAGTATCTATATCAAATGGTGGCTCTTTCCATCTAGCCAATTTACTATGCTTGCAACTTATTATTGAAACAAAACTATAAAGATTTTTTTTTTAAATTAACTAGTATTGGTTGATTCTGGTGTCCTGGAAGGTCTGTGGCTGCGTCTAGACTGGCATAATCTTGCCGCCTGTCTACACTGGCTGCGAGTATTTGCGCAAGAACACTGACTTCGTAATGTACAAAATCAGTGGTTCTTGCGCAAATACTCTGATGCTCCCGCTCAGGGATAAACCCTCTTGCACAAGTATTCTTGTGCAAGAGGGCCAGTGTAGACAGCAACATTAATTTCTTGCTCAAGAAAGCTGAATGGCTAAAATGGCCATCAGAGCTTTCTTGCGCAAGAGAGCGTCTACACTGGCACGGATGCTTTTGCGCAAAGGCACATGCCAGTATAGTCGCTCTCTTGAGCAAATACTTTTAACGGAAAAACTTTTCCGTTAAAAGTATTTGCGCAAAATCATTCCAGTCTAGACGCAGCCTGTCTGTGTTTATCTGCATGCCTCTGAGTGACAGCTAGCAGATACTGAAGCTCGTTTTTCTTTTCCTTGTCAAGCTCTTTTGGGGAAAAAGAGCTTGGGGTACCCCAGGTATCCACCCATTTGCGTTTTTATTTTGGGGTTCAAAGCACTTGATGGTGGCAGTGGGTCCCCCAAAATCTGGGTATTAGGATTTTGGAGGGAAGTTTTTGTACCAGAGCTTGTAGAGGCAAGGTTTTGGAGTGCTCTTGTGGGCCCCCAACTTCTGCATTTATCCTGTCAGAGTGGGGAACAGCCGTGACAGCCCTAGAGAACCTCTTGGTGGCACACCAAGCTGAACACCAAGCTAGAGAACAACTGAAACTGATCACAAAGAGATGCGGTGAATGGAGAAAGCCCAAGTGCTTATCCAAACTTTGACATTATCTTCAGCTCCTTCCAGGGTGATCAGCACAGACTTGGGAAAGAGCCAGCAAATATGCAGGAAAAGATCCCAGAAAGGTTGGATAAGCAGTTCTTAAGTAATCTTAACCTCCGAGGCCATAAACCTAGCATCTCCTGTTTCCCTCCTCCACTCTCTGCTGACAGCTTCCAAGCGTGGGTGATTATAGCAGGGATTTAGGAACAGAGCCAGTACCACCACACACAGCTAGATCTGACAAACTATTAGCATGCTGGCCTTTTGGGGGAGAGAACAGTTTATCCAGTGCCCTAGTTTGAGTTCCTTGTCCGGGCTGGCTGGCTCCTACTTATTTCCCCAAACGGGTTTGCCTGGTTAAGCTCTCAAAAGCGGAGCTCAAAGTTGTTCGAGATGGAAAAGACTTGCTATCTTAGAGAGCACCCTCTGCACGGGCAGGATGTGGGCTACAGATAAGACATGTACCCGATAGTAAGATTATACTCCAAGACACGTGCATATGCAGAGTGGCATTCGTTTGTCAGAGAAAAAGGTGGAGCTGCGGGTGATGTCTGCAGCGTCACACCACTCTCCCAGGTCTGGACTGTCCCAGCAACCTCAGTTTGAGCAGGGGGAGAGTGAAAGTGAGAGTGCATTAGAAAGAGAAGATTAACTGGCCAAGCAGGATTTAAAGCCAGTTAAGCATTTCAAAGGCTCTGCACGTGCACACCAGGAGGGGACTGCAGGGTCAAGATGAGATTAATGGCAGCGTGGAAACGCTCAGACTTTAACCTACCCTTGTAATACTCCTCACAGGGAGGTGGGTGAAACCTCCCTATTCCCTCGCTTTCTCCTGGGGATTTGCTTTGAGTTTTTCTTTGGGAACCTTCCTCTCAAAGCCACAAGTGGGGAGCCTCTCCCCAGAGCAAGTTTCCTGC